TGAAACCAATATTTTAAACAAGACAATTTATGAAATTTAGAAAATTCTTCTGTAACATTAATCCTTATAAATGTTAATGATACTGTATATCCGAGTTTAATAAATCTCTCATAAATACTAAGTTCAAGGAAAGTCTGACTTCGGAAGTGAATTAAGATTTAAATCACATTATAAAACATTACTAAACATAAGCAAACATCCGATGAAACGTGAATTCAATTACTCATTTGAGATCCGATGTGACATCCGATTTGAGATCTTTTTAAAGTTAAAATTTTGAGATCATTTCAAAGTTTTAATCAATAAAATAAAAGACAGATTTGTGTGAATTAATGGTAAAACTGGTGACCATTAAAATATAGTTATAAATAATAAATTTTATAAGTTTCAAGAATAATTAATATTTTATTAATACAAACGGCAGATCATAACCAGAACTAATTAATTATTCTCATAAGCTGTAGAATATTCTGGCTATAAATATATGAAAAATAAGATATTTTTAACTTATTATGCAGGGAATCAAATAATTTATAATAATTGAAGTTATTTTTTACATACTCTACTCTATTCACTCCTACGATTGCATGGATTTGGCAAATAATAAGATAATTAATTTTTCAAAATATTTTTTTCATGTTTATGTTGTGTTTGTAATAATCAATCTTTTGAATTGAAGATTTCTGGTTTTCATATTTATATTACTATTCATTTAATTGTAAATATTTTCCCAAACAGTAAATCATATCATAAGAGCAAAACTGGTTATTGAAATAAAAATATAAAATCCAATCTAAATTATTGGCATTCATATCAATATTCATTATTTAATATTATGATTATGTTATATAATTTAAATATATTTTCTAGTTATATATGAATCTCGATTATATGAAACAGCGACAATAATTTTGAGTAATATAAGATTAAGCTTTATTTGTAACGTGTCTCATAGTAAACCAATACACATAAAAATCTTAATCTTATATTACTCATATAAATCATCATCGCTGTTTCATATAATCGAGTCTCATATTTAAATTATGCTTGTTATTTTTATTTTGTTAGTCGATGTATCTATATACAGTATAATATTCTTTAGCAAAATTATGAATAAAATATTTAGAAATTATTCTATCAATAATTATTATACTGTAATTTATAACATTATGTGTAAGATGAAACGCATAATGTCATAAATGTTCACTGTTCATNATCTATATACAGTATAATATTCTTTAGCAAAATTATGAATAAAATATTTAGAAATTATTCTATCAATAATTATTATACTGTAATTTATAACATTATGTGTAAGATGAAACGCATAATGTCATAAATGTTCACTGTTAATTCATAAATACGGTACTTAATTATTGAAAGTTAAGCCATAGTCTATCTTAATTTAAATACGATTTACTACTTATAAGTTATAACTTATAAGTGATTTAAGATGTTTATTACAAATATCAAAACGACACCTATTGTGATCCGATGTGATCAATATAATAAGTCCCAATTGAATTATTATAAAAACAGAAATCAATCTCATCCACATTATTTATTATAATTTCGTTGACTGTAAATATAATTTATATTTAATTTAAAAAGTATTGTTATTATGACAATTAATATACCTGTACAAGTACCTATGAATATTGAAAACAGAGATATTTCAAGAGCAATAGAAACACTAGTCTAAAATTACATCAAAATTTTAATATCATTTTCTTAATTTAAATCAAACAATCTTATGGCACAATACAGTATTATCAGATATTCTAGAGATTGGGTTTAATCATAATTGAATATACACACCTGTATAACCATCCATGTTCAAAAATAATTTTGTATAAGGTAAACATTGTAACTGCCAACTATAAAACACTAGACTACTCTAAAATATCATACTCATATAAAACACATTTACAATCACTTTTATTGAAATATATTTTATTAAAATGATAAGTATTGCCGTAAATCATATTTAACACAAATATTACTAATAGGGTATAAACATCTTTGTAGATTTATTTAGAGATTTAAGTCTCAAATTCTATAAAGTATTATTAAATACAAACCTATTTCAGAGTTTCAATTGTATTTAAAAATAACTCAAATATAAGACATTGTAATAAAATATCAAATTTGAGGCTTTATTGTTGTGTTTTAGGGTTACGACAGCCAACTATTCTCACATAATTGGCTGGAATGAGACCCACTTTCTGGCCATCAATTGTCGCTAATAGCCATCCCCTCACTCTCGGCTGTAATTCTGTGCCAAATATAAATAGTAATTAATAAAAAGTATATTTAATACTCATTTATGAGACAAACCCTTTGGCGCCACAATAATCTTCTGGCCGACAGTGAATGACACCTCACGAGGAATGTCTGAATGGAAGTCATAGAGAGCTGTGGCCTCGTAGTGCTCGCCCTCACCCGTCGCCCACTTCTCTGAAACTATTAATCAATCGATTGGCCATTACTTACAAATGAAGTCAAAACCACTATTAACTAAATAAATACCTGTCCTCTCACTTGCAGCCATTGTGGACATGAGTTTCCACAGAAGCCATGGCGTGCCCAGTATTACAGTGAAGAATACAATGGTAGGCCACGGACCACCTCTTGACGACAAATTGTCGCCTTTTAATGAATCAAAGGTGCCGTCGGCTGTCAAATGGGATTCAATGGGATTGGAGTTATTGGAGGCCTGACTCCACGCCCTCTCATTTGGGTCTTGGTTTTGATCCCTCACTCGAACACCAATTAAAGACAATATTCTTGTGACAATCCATTTGAATGTTCTGATGATAGCGAGTGTCGACAATATATGTGTCAAATGGTGTCTGAGTCGTGAGAAGTGATCGGCGACTCCGATGAATGCCCTGAAGGAGGAGTTGACGGCATGATAGGTGGACTCCAACATGAGGGACACCGACCCGAAGGCCTGCACCACCGACTCGACCGACTCCAGGGTCTGTCGGCACCGATCGTCCGCCAATCGCATCCAATCANCTGCCGTTTGTATTAATAAAATATTAATTATTCTTGAAACTTATAAAATTTATTATTTATAACTATATTTTAATGGTCACCAGTTTTACCATTAATTCACACAAATCTGTCTTTTATTTTATTGATTAAAACTTTGAAATGATCTCAAAATTTTAACTTTAAAAAGATCTCAAATCGGATGTCACATCGGATCTCAAATGAGTAATTGAATTCACGTTTCATCGGATGTTTGCTTATGTTTAGTAATGTTTTATAATGTGATTTAAATCTTAATTCACTTCCGAAGTCAGACTTTCCTTTAACTTAGTATTTATGAGAGATTTATTAAACTCGGATATACAGTATCATTAACATTTATAAGGATTAATGTTACAGAAGAATTTTCTAAATTTCATAAATTGTCTTGTTTAAAATATTGGTTTCACATAAAATGACAGATTTGTTACTGGGTGAATGTGTGAAATATAAATACAATTACAATTATGTAGAAACACTCAATTTATTTTTGATAAGAGCTCACTTGTTCATTTATAACTTAGCTATCATATCATATTCATGGTCATTTAGTATTTCAAATAGAGGATTATTTTAATAATTACTAATTATAAGTTCATATATTAACATGTTAAATTAATTGATTTATTAATTGATTTATAATTTAACTAAAGATAGTACCTTTTTCTATACAGTAGTAATAAATGATTAAACTATTTGTTTAAAAATAAACATTATAGCAGCTGTGACATAGCTTAAAGAAATTGATCGAGCATCAAATT